ATCGTTACCTTCCTTGGAGTGAAATCATTATAAAAAAAAATATACTGTAGTAAACAGGTAGTAATACAGATTTTTTATTGGCTGCTGAGGATATTCTACAGAATTCCAATGCTTCTGATCTTTTAGTCTGTTCTTCGCAACTGTTCTATGTGAACAGTTACAAACACTTTGTGTTTTGATACCAGTAGTAATTGGTGAGATGTTCAGGTAGTATAATTGTTATCAGCGCTGGAAGAAGGATTGGTGAGATGGGTTCAAATCCCCGTCTAGTCAGTTAGAAATACGTTCAGATCGCGTAGCAAAATTCTTTTAGATGATTCCCGATTGAGGGAGTTCCCTAGTATCTAGAGGTAACTACCAAGTCACCTTAGATGCCTCATCCGTTAAACTTAAGAAGAAAAAATGCCTCTCGACAACAGATCATAACGTTCCCAAACTACTCCTGCTTACGAATAGAAAGGTATTCTGTGATGAAACATTCTCGACTGGATATGGTCAAGTAAATGAGAAGAAAATATGTAGTATTTATTAGAGTCCATGTTAATTCAACAAGGCAAAATATATACACATTAAGACCCACATGCAATTAAGACCAGAAACAATGCAATCTGTGCCTGGTGTACCGCCAGATCATTTAATGCGTGACACAGATGCATGGCAAGTATGTGACGCGCTGATGTACAAATATATAAATCCGTTTGACGTAACCTAATACCCAGTGGCTCTATATATCCTATAATTTGTGCCTTTTAGTAAGGTTTATCCTTTCATCGTCCCTTCTCTTTCCTGTTGCAACAACCTTGTTAAGTAGTTTACCTGTTCTTTACCTGTATCTCATGTCCCCTACTTGTACTGTGTGTTGTAAATTCTCTAAACCCACCTTCCTCATTATGCGTCCAAGAAATTCCATCTCTCTCTGATTATAATTATAAGTGTTCGTTTTGTTTTCATTTTCCTTAAAACTTCATCGTTGCTTACGCATTCAGTCCAGTGTATTCTCAGTATCCTTCTGTAGAACCATATTTCTGTTGCCTCAATTCTCCCTTCCATCCGTGTAAAAATTGTCCAGCATTCACTGTCATATAGCAGGAGAGATATGGTATAGATTTCAGCATTTTTTCTTCGTTCCTAACGCAATGTTCATTTTTCTTAATACCCTGCTTAGATTTCAAAAGGCATCTTTCAAGTTTCCCATACAATATATTATAAATACGTGATATATAGTCGCCGATAACTGAAATAAACATGTATTTAGAGGTTATTGGTAAAATCCAAAGAATCAGCAATGTTATCGGTCCTGACCTGTCATCTCAGTTTCAGTCAGTCCTCCAACGCCGTAATGTAGCTCCCCTGTGCATTTTCATGTTAATTGTTCTGATGAGCTTTCTTCTTTGTTAATGCGATTTTAGAAACTTAAATGCAGTAATAGATTGGCAGATATGTCTCTTCATTTTACACTTGAAATTATTAGATGTAGCCGTAAGTTCTATGCTAAGAGTTTCTTCCACCGTATTTCCAACTTGTGAAAATTTCTTCCGGTTTCTTGTTTCATCAAAAGATTCAAATGCAATATAAATCGTCATCTTCTGTTTCCATAATTCTTCTTCTATATTATCCTCTCTCCATAATGACGTTTATTTCTCCCCCTCTTTCACACTCGGTTATCTTAGCCGCCTTATCACCTTGCTTGGGGTGAAAAGATTACAAAAATAATTAAACATTTTGAAAACGCTGATATTTGAATTCTCTGGTTATTTGCACCATGATTGGTAGCATCAAAATCAAATAATTTTTGGCTAAATGTCTAGAATGAGATATCTTTATTATTATTATTATTATTATTATTTAACTAACTTACCAGTTGGATCACTGACGGTTGCTGTTATAAAACATAGTAGTCAATTGCATTATTCCATTGAAATAACAGTTAATTTTATTATGATCCATTTAAATATTTCACTTCATTCTTGTCATCTTTGGTCTGGTTTACAAGTACATGTTTAACGTTTTAATGATTTTTTTTTTGTTCTGCATTTAATGGGTATAGAACTTCCCGGAGAAAGATTTAATTTTAATTTTTTAAATATACCAATTTTCTTTTTTTTAAATATATAAAATTATGTTTGTGTAAAACAGCTGGAATCTAAATAATTCCTCTACAAACAACAGGACGAAACAGCAAAGCCGGATCTCTTTGTATCTGTCATTAACTTAAAATATTTTAATTAAAAAAATTCTGCTTGAAGAAGCAGACACTTTTTTTAATTAAAATATTTTTGAATTAATGACAGACCCAAAATATCCGTTGAAGTTAAAATAAAAATACATACTGTATAAACAACTGGTATTTTTAAATCTTATTCATTTAGAATATTTTATCAGATTAATTTAAAAATATTTTTAAATATTTAAAATATTGTTTGTTTAATGAAATTTGGAATATAAATAAATACACTCCAAACAACTGGACACAAAATAAAGTAGGATCTCTTTGTGATTGTTTTTAACTTAAAAATATTTTTTATTAAATACAGTTTCTGTTTGAAGTTAAAATAAATATACTTGCGGCATAAACAACTCGTATTAAATCTTATTCACTTAAATCAGATACACTTGAATCATTAAGCGAAACACACAAACACACACGCAATCATAGACTGTTAGTATTAAATAGATAGATATTAATTCAGCTTATATTCATGTTGAACTACTTGTTTTCGTCTGAAGACCAATGATGACTTCGTGTCTGGTCAATATCTAAATCGCTGATTGCTTGGGAATACCAGGCGTTGTAAGTTTGAATTTGCAGTTGGTGCAGTGGATAGCGACTCGGAACAAGAAATCGGAGAAACTAGTTCGAATTCCAGTCGGATTGGTTACATCCACTTACGTAGAAAAAACCCTTGGATCATTATGTGTCAAAAAGATAGATGATTGCTCATGTGTCTCACATCCGCCCCGGCCAAAGATAGATGATTGCTCATGTGTCTCACATGTGCCCCGACCAAAGAGAGATGATTGCTCAAGTGTCTCACATCCGACCCAACCAAAGATAGATGATTGCTCAAGTGTCTCACAACCGCCCCGAACAAAGATAGATGATTGCTCAAGTGTCTCATATCCACCCCGACCAAAGATAGATGATTGCTCAAGTGTCTCACATCTGCCCCAACCAGCATTGGTCCAGGGCTACGAGGCAACATCCCTTTTCTCCCTATGAATCTACGAAAGGCCGACATCAAACAAAGAACCTTTACAGTCAGATATAAAGAAAAAGAATAGTAACACCCGATTTTAAGAAGATGAAAATGATGTAGTTTTCTAATTTGTGGCTTTTGACAAATTGTTAAATCGCTTTGATAAGATTGTAAAGGATTAGATGTAGAAGTGTTTAACAGTAGGTGATCAACAGCTAATGGAATTTTCTGCAACAAAGCTTGATATTTGATGAAGAAGAGGAGAAAACAAAGCCAAATGCAGAAGATAGCAAGGAGGTATAATAATCAAAGCAGGGTCTTTTTTAAGCATTTCTCCCCAAGCAAGGCGGGAGTACCACTAGCACGCAACGAGTTACAGAGAGTAGAACCAAGGTTAAAGTGGGATGTTTGAGTTAAGGATACAGAGAAAGACGGGGACCAGGATGAAGGCATCAGACGATAGCGATTGACATTACGTTTCAATATTTGAAGATTGTAGCTATCAGTGAAGCAAATAAGAGGAAGGGAATTTACAAATATTAGCCAAACAGGTTTCCTGTGGCATCAAAAATCATAGAGATGTATGGTTTATTACCCAGAGCGATAAACATCTGAAAAAAAAAACTGGTGCGTGCAACAGCTGAAACGTTGTGATACTAAGTATAAAAACGTGGATATTAGTCTAACTCAACATAAGAAATATACTGCTGACATCTTTTACCTATATGCATTTATTTCTGTCTGAATTTCTGGGATGAGAAATTATTATTTATTTGCGGACTATTGAGCAACATGAGATATCCCTAAACATGGGTATTGAAACGAGAACAATCTACAAATAAGTTTCAGTTAGGAATTCCCTGTAGGTTAACCGAAACGATATACCCCTGATGAAGGCCTAAGAGTACAACGATCAAAACATTGTGTTAACAACAAAGAAGATGATGATAATAGTCCGCATGTAAAAAATGCTTTTATTTTCTATATTATTGATTTTTTTTTGGTTCTATCTTTTTACTGTTTCTCAGTTGATCTATCCACTACCCTTCTCCTCACCCTTTCCTCTATCACTCCTATCTGATCTTGCTCCGAATCTTCTGTAACCCCTTGCGTCCTAGTGGCTTCTCGCCTTGCTTGGGGTGAAACGCTTAAAAAAATCTGTTTATATTTCTGAAATGAGGTATTGTAATTATTTACATTGTTCAGACTGTTATCTTCGTCTTTAAAGGGTTCAGTTCAAAATTCTGATCACCTAAAGAAGGCTGGAGCGTACAACGGCCGAAACATTGTGAACATGACAATAAAGATGCGGACAACAGTCCGAACAATGTAAATGATACTCCTGACGTGCGTCACCCTCAGGGTTAGATGATAACCTTATAACTCAATTATATTAAAAGGTCTTTCAGTCGTTAAATCAATGGCAACATTAATGTTTAAAAGAATTAACTTTTTTTAACTCATAATGGAATATAATTGTGTTTTCCTTAGTTTTTTTCTATATTTACACTATTGTCCTTATCTTTGTTGTTGTTATCACAACATTGTGACCTCCGGCCTTCCTCAGGTGTATATTGATTTCGTTGTTTCTCATCTCTTTTCATTCCATGTTTCTTTCTCTGTCACTCTCGTTTCACTCCTCCCACTTCGCCTTCTTTTCTTTTAATTCTCTTTTTTACTGTTTCCTCCTCCTTCCATTCTCTTGTTAGTTCCTTCACTTTTCCCTTATCCACTCTCATTTCACCTTCTTTTCTTTTACTTCTCTTTGTGTTGCATCTTCATCTTTCCATTCTCTTCTTTGGCTTACGGCCGTATCATATTGAAACACAGGTTCTCGTACGATCAGCGAAGTTAAGCAACGTCAATCTTGGTCAGTACCTACATAGGTGACCGCTTGGAAATACCAGGTGCTGTAAGCTTGGGTGTGATGGTGGTGTAATGGATAACAATCCGAGTTCCAATTCCAATCGGGTTTGTTAGATTTACTCACGCGCAAATAACCTCGGGGAAGATATGAATCCACCCCTCATCAACCTAACTATGACACAATTAGTAGGACTTGTATCAGTTAATTATTGCTATGTTAAAAAAAATCCTTACAAGCTAAAAATATTTTCTGGTTTTAAAATGACTTGCAAAAGATTATAAGCCGCAAAAAATATCTACCCTACCAAATAAACATTCATTCATTCATTCATTCATTCTTTCTTTCTTTCTTTCTTTCTTTTTTCGTTCTCTCTTTCTTAGCCTTTTCTTTTCTTTTACTGCTCGATTTGTTTCTTCTTTCTCTTTATATTTTCATCTTACTTTCTTTCTTCACTTAAACTTATTTTCATTTATTTTGTCTTTATAAAACTATTTACCTTCTCTTCTTTTGTATATAATTAATGTTTATATCTTTTTTTGTCTTATTCCACTCCCTACTGTCTTCCTTTAAATTATCTCCCTTTCCTTTCGTTTTTTTTCAGTTACTTCATTTCGGAGTTGTTAACTTTTTCCTTATTTACTTTAAATGTTCATAATTTTACGTAAATTTTCTCTTCGCTTCTAATATAAATTTTTCATCTTTCTCTTCTTTCCAGTTTCCAATCTTGCTTCGTTCCTCTTGGTTCCTTCCTTTCATCATTTCTCAGTTGATAAATCTTTCCTTATTTTAAAAGTTCATAATTTTACGGAACTTTTCTATTTATTTCAAATCTTAGACATTTATTTTTTCCTCCTCCTTTTTTTTTTTTTTTTTCTTGTTTCAATGTTTTCTTTAGACTCCTTCATTTCTATGTTCTGCATTATTTCTCACGCTTAGGTGAGAAAGCAGCCTCGAAAAACATTCAACTTTCTTCTGAATGATGAAGTGTTACCAGCTGCAATGAATAATGCACACACGTGCACCGTGTACAAATTGACTCTACATTCGCATCCTCTCTCTCCCTCTCACTCTCTAGTGATGCACTTTTACATCTTCCGACATACTTAATGTTTGGAGGCAGGGAGAAATACAAATCTGCTATTGACTAATATTTGGTTAGTTTGGGCATAAAATGACAGATTTCAAACGTTTCACAATGCTCTCCACAAGTAACACACACTTCTGTAAAAATGGTCTACGACACTAGTTCGGTAGGCATTAACCCATTCTGAGGTGCATAGTCATAAATTAGTAAGTTTCTTTAACTTTAGTCTTAAATTAGAATTAGTATTGTAACATTAGGCTACAACTTAATGTAATGATATACAAGTCCAGCATTGTGGTTATTACCCAATGATGAGGCACTGAAAGTCGAAGTATGTTAATGGAAATGTTTTTTGATCTTTTATTTCACATTCTTTCTTTCCCAACATCCGGATATTTTTCTTCTATATGGTATTCACTGTTAGATAATATCTTCACAAATGAAGAAGAAACTTGAGGTAACGGAGAATTGGTTCGGCAGAAAGATGTTGGGGATATCCATAAAAATATATATGTGAAGAGATATAAAGAAAAAAATGGCAACCCAAGGGCCTTAGAATCAGCAAGCGACAGTTTAAATTTCTGTGACATATAATAAGAAAAAAAGGCTTGGAGAATGTTGCACTGACAAGGCGTATTGAAGGCAAGCAAAAGAAGGGGAGATAGCGAGTAACAAATTTAATGAGTTTGTTTAAATCTGTTTAAATTTGTTTAGTACAAAGAGTGAAACTGAAGAATATCGAATTCTGCAAGGATTAGGAAATTGAGGAGAGTTATCATCGGCCACGTTCTGAAGAAAAATAGCTTTATCAGCTCAGTTAGGGGAAAACTGGTTGGCCGCGTTCATAATCAAATTAGTGACGTTCCATCATCATGGAGCGAATCCTGATTTTTTGCCTATCACGATGAAGGAGAATTCTATCGGTGAAGGTCTGTGCCTTGAGCGTTTCTTGGGGTTTAAGTTCAACCCAGACTGAATGTGGAACTCGTATATACGATCCATCGCTAAAGATGCTGGAAAAATATTCGGTTTATTGTACCGCACCAGTATGTACCTTATTCCTCCGGCAATCTGCTTCCTTTACAAGAGCTAGATCAAAACGACAATGGAGTATATCTGCCATATATAAAGGCAGGACCTTGGTCAACCCGAGGCGTTATAAGGGTTAGCAAGCTTATCTCACTAGAACAATTATACCTGAGTAGTGAATTAAATTCTCACTCGGTACCCCTTACTTTCGGCCTTGTTCCACATCTAAGCTACGCTTGGAAAATCACTATAAAGACAGGACCTGAAGCTACCAAGCCTTCATTATCCAGACTTGGATAGAGTCCATAACCGTCTCCACATCCTTGTGGGTGGTGAATTATTTTTCTCTCCTACAACGCCCTTCCCTCAGACAAAACGTTGCAAGTCACTCTCTATTCTATCGTTATTTCCATGGAAAGTGTTCAGACTATATTTCGTAGTTCTACCATTTTTAACCTTGGTGACTGTGGAAAGCTAGTATCTTGATTATAACATTGTTTTGACTTTCTGTTACATGTGATATCTATTTTAGTATTGTAAATAGTTCTCAGTCATTTTTTTTAATATTCGGTCTAAATATTTACACCATATCTTCAAGGCGACAGTTTAATCTGGTGCCTTCTTTTTTTTTCATATATCTAAACTAAAAATATAAACTATAAACAAGAATATTGTAGTGAATCTCCCTGATTTCGTTCGTATTCCAGCGGCCAGATGTATGTGTCACCCGACAACTTATTTCCACTAAGCACTACTTTGTAGAACCGACTCCCAAGAGGATTCTTCCAGATGACTAAAATCTTAACCTGTTCAAGTCTAGAGTTAATCGTTATCTTCTCCACATATCCGTAGAGACTGCTTACTCAGTAACACTCTACCTCGAGTGGTTCACGGCCTTGTACAGTAGGAACATTATTGTGAAAAAAAAATCACATAAAATAATATGACCTTTGTCTATTCGTTCTTTTTTTTGTTTCTTTTATTTCTTTTGTTGTATATAATGCATAAAGTCTCTTTTTGTATCTTTGATTACCTTTTTAATTTTATACTAGTCTATTTTATTCATTTTCCATATAAATATTATTCTTCTGGCCTTTCCATAATTCCGTCCTTACCTGTTGGTTTCTCTCTTCTATATTTGCCTGCATTACTCTTTTCCTTTCCTTCTCATCTTTCAGCAAACTTCCCGCCTTATTCTCACGTGGCTTTTCTCTCTTTTTCATCATTTAATGTATTTCTCTTCCTTAATTTACCTTGTTTTATTTTTTCTTCTTGATTTGCACGCATTGACTTTTCACTTAACTCCTATCTGGCAGCTCATGTTCAAGATCATATGACAGCAAAACCTCTTCAATGCTCCAGTTTCTTCCTTTTAGCAACCCTGCCAATACGATAATTTAATTTATCGACAGATTTTAAAAATACATGTGCTTCAATACTTATCGATAGTACTGCCACGATCATATTCTGCAATTCGTTTAAGTTCTATAGCAAAGTCATGATGCTCAGCCAACATTTCAATTTTTTATTTTTTGCTTCCAGTATCATTTTTTGGTCTGATGGGGTGGTGATATTCATTAACAGATCTTTGTATGAAGAATAAGTAGGAAGATCAATAATTATATAGTCTAAACTATTTTTTTCTACGCAAACATAATCTTCCTTGTAAATGCACGTCTTTTAACTAAAGTCGCTCAATCTGTGCCACAGGGAATTTCTCTGATAAATAGGGAGATCAATAATTCTTTAGTCTAAAAATGACAAAAGTATTTTCAATACAATCTCTTTCAATTTCAATGCTTGTAATTCACTGATCAACCATAATAACATAAATTTGAAATTGTACATTGAAAATATTGCGTTGGTGCAAAATTATCAGGCATTTTTAAAACAATATTTATCATGAAAAAAGAAACATAACAACTCAACAATATCATTTATAAATGATTATTCCGGAGCGTATGAATATCGACACACATTTTTATAATCTGAAAATAAAATAATATTTTTATTGAAAGAAGTAAACAAAACAGCAATTTTTATTAACAAATAACTCGCCTACAAAAACCTCTAATAATTATGCACTAGCCCGATACAATATCAGATTTTTTCAATATGACTTCCTTTCTTATCAATGCATGTACTTCAGTAGTAAACCATAACATAAATTTAGCATTATACATTGAAAATATATCAGAATTTTCAACATTCTTTTTCAATACACGTAATTCAGTGGCGAACCTTATAATATAAATTTAACATTATACATTGAGAATATCAAATGAAAAATTTTCAACATTATTTCCTTCCTTGTCAATGGCCGTAATTCAGTGTGAAACTTAATAACATAAATTTGATATTATATATTGAAAATATCATATCAGAATTTTTCAACATTCTTTCTCAATACACGTAATTCAGTAGCGAATCTTAATTATATAAATTTAACATTATATATTGGAAATTTCAATGATCAACATAATCCCATTTATCGCTCGAGTATTTTAATCATATCAATTGATTATTCCAGAGTATATCAGATATCATTTTACGTTATCGCTAAATATTTGGCTGCAAATTTATTGATCAGTTAAATAGTGTCTGCTTGCCTCTGTCGGTTTATATACATGAAATTCATATTTCTTAAAATTGTCTCTTCTTTTTTGTGACGTGTCTCTACTTCTTTTAAATTTCCTTTGCTTTCATTCTTTTCAATTTTAACGTCATTCCTTATCGCTTTCCATTGTGCAAAGAATTACAACTAATTACTTAATCTCTGAGATTAAAAAAGATAGAGAATGAGTTTTCTACATGTCACAAAACATAGATAGGTTGCGTTAATTTTACTTAGGGATTTTGATATGGGTTAATCGCTCAAATCTTTCTCTTTAAACTAAAAAGAATTAATCCTAAACACAGCGGTCGTTGTATTAGGGG